AATTTCAATTTCGTTTCGTGTCGTGTATTTTTGTTGTGTCATGTCAACAATTACCACCTCTAACAATCACCCATTAGAATTCGCTTTTTTCATAGTAAAACTAATTCAAATTTTCAAAGACCTTTTGGGGTCACCGCCAAAAAAATTAATTCAAACCGACAAGAAGAGTGAAACCACCATCAGGGGTTCTTCCCCTTTGAACCCCGTTAAGGGCGCTACCCCTAGGATCTTGCAAGGGGTGTAGACCCCTTGACTTTCGTCTTTCTGTCGTACCGGTTTATAATCTGATCTTATATATAAATGCATTCTATATTCTCCAAACATATAATATAGACTACGAACAATAAGTCGCTTAGCTCATATGTTAGCTCTAATTACATAAAACTTCATGTGACACTAAAATCACCAATAATAAACAAAATGCCCATGAACGAAATGTATAAAAACTTACACAATCAATGCAAAATCGGTCAAAGTGATGAAAACATTTAAAAGGGCTTCTAAACCAGTGGTATCAGCTGATGCTCTCACTCTTTGAGGTCGAGGGTTCAAGTTCTATAGTGGATAGGAATGTAATTAGGTGTTAGTTTAGTAGTAGATTATATATATTGTATTTATCGGTTAAAAAAACAAGATAGAAAACATTTTGACAGCAAGACTCGATTTTCACTAGAAGATGCTCGATATTCACTAGAAGGGAAATAAAGGAGAGTTTCAAACATATGGAGTTTTTGAAAATTGTAGAATTAGCCCAAAATGAAATTTGGTGCCAACAAGAGATCATACAAGTGGTGCCTCAAAACGATCAAAAACTTACGTCTCCACCTATTCTACTCCGTCTGATGTTTATGTCACATTTCACCTCAATGACGAGGTTGAAATTAAAAAATCTATCCGACCGAAAAGTCGGTATAAAGCTAAAGATAAAGGTTCTTTGTGGTCAATTAAAAAAAAGCACAATGGAGTTAGAACTTTTTAATTTGGATTTTAACCTGCATAAGAAATTTGAAAAATAAAAATTATGTAAGAATGAAAAAGGCACGTGAAGAAAAGCAACAGTCGAGATTTAAATTTGGTTTTGCAAAACCATTGATCATTTTGATTTGGCGATAAAAACTTTTAAAAAAATGTAACTTGTAACTTAAATTTTTTTAAACATTTTTGCGTTTTTAGGATTCTTTTGATTTGTGCTATCTAATTTTAAAACTTTTAGTTTAAATTAATGAAATATTTCAATTTTACTTTGTCTTGTATTCTTTTGTTAATTTAAATATGTTAAATATTTACAAATAAATAAGTGAGGGTTAGAGTGTATACATAAATTATTATGTGTATAAAAGAACTGTTGTATACAATCAACTCTTTTAGACTATAGAATAATCTCACAACAACTTTCATATAACTCCACTCTTAATTCTCATTCTTTCACTTCCTCTTTCACCTTGAAAATGGTCACCTCTCCCACTTTTCCAATAAATATGCTTTAATAATATTGTATTTTATGAATTAGGTGAAACACTAGAAAGAAGAAAAAATGGAATGAAAATGAATAGGATACGATAATTTTCCATCCTACATACTCAAAATTACGGTGTGATCAAGGGGTGGGGTGGTGTTCACTGTAGGCACAATGGTGCCACTTCATTCTTAGTGCACCTTATGAGACCACATATAATGACTTTAGAACATCCATTCTAGAAAAAAAATTTGGCTAAGTTTTTACATACCACATCAACAAAATAAAAATCTCAAAATACATCCACAATACAAAAAAACTTTTTAGTTAACCTTTTTTATGAGTTAAAAATAATAAAAAAATAAATAAATAAATAAATGTAGCCCCTATCTAAATAATTGAAAAAGTTTTTGCTTTAAGTTTCTTACTAGTTGGAAACTATAAGACCCATAAAGAGACTACAACCAAAACCATGCAAATACAAAGTAAATTCTATGGATAAAAAAGTGAAACTATAAACTATACAAAGCTACAATGGGGCATGCCAAAAAAATTGATAAGCTTTTTCTCCAATTACGAATGCTTTTAAAAATACAAGTGATGGGCTGATGGCAACCAC